TTTCCAAAACCCAAAAAATCCTGATGACCCACATGAAAAAAGGCACCTACCACGTCCTTGTGAAAACACCCGGAAACACCGGCATCTCCTGCCCGGTGTGAGCGGGGGGTGGGCGGGGGCCGGGGCAGCTTGTCTGAAGTAGGACCTCCAAGGCTCTGGGGTCCCCCACACTACCCCCCCACGTCACCAGCAAACCCCAAGAGCCCCACAGAGCCACTGCAAATGGGGGTGTGTTACAACAATGTCTGAGAAGGGATGGGATCACTCACACCACGTGGGTCTTTATGAAAACCAAGAGCAGCCCGAGCCCAGAGCTTGGACCCCCGGGTCGAGGACATGGGGTTGGCCAGCTGATGCTGCAGGCTCCCCCCTGGGCCTCCGGGGTCCACTGCCCGTGACCGCGGGCCTCACGTGTCTCTGTGGGTCCTTGACGGGCTTTGGCCTCCAGGTTCTGAGCCCCCGATCCTGGCCGTGGAGGCAAGGAGGCAGGGCCAGGGCACCGGGTGGCTCCGGGCCTCTGTCTTCCCATAGGCAAAGTGGGCGCCGTCCAGGAAGCCACGCGGGGAGGGACAGAGGAGGGACAGAGGAGGGACGGGAGGCGGGGAAGGCCGAGCAGATGGGGCCAGAGCAAGTCACTGGTGACTCAGGGAGGCTGTCAGGGAATTCCTCGTCACCAACTCCCAGGTGGGGGACGTGGAGGGGTCACCCGAGGCTTCTCGGCTGGGCTCTGATGGGGACCCCAGCGGCCCTGGGGGCCAGGGTGCCGAGGGCAGTGCATCTGACCCAGGCTGGCCTTATTTCTTTCTCCTGAGGGTTTGGGGTCCACACAGAGTCTTCTGGAAAATAGAGGCCTTTATAGAGAAAGACGGAGGCTGGCGGTCAGGGGAGGCCGAGGGCTAGGGCAGGGGTAGGGGCCTGAAGAGTCCCCGAGTCCTGGGAGGCTGGAGGGCTGGGGTTTCCTGACGGAGCAGGGAGAAGAGACAGGCCCTGGGACGGAGGGGTCGGCGGGGCAGGAGAGGGAGGCGCAGGCCAGGGACACACAGGTCTGCAGGAGACAGACCTTCACTGCATAGCAGGGACAGGGAAGCCCAGAGAGGGGAGGTGATCTGCCCAAGTCCACACAGCAAGACAGCGGCAGGTTTGGATTTGAACTCAGGTCTTTCTGACCTCAGAAGTTGTGTGTGTGTGTGTGTGTGTGTGTGTGTGTGTGTGTGTTGAGGTCATGCCCTTGACCTCTAGGCTGCCCTAAGATTCAGTGGCTTTGGTGTCTGGCCCGTCACTGGACGCTCCTCCTGGCAGCTGGCCCTGGGGAGGGGCTAAGGTCAGGAACACTCCAGTGTGGGTCAGCCCCCGGGAGCCAGGGACAGCAGCCAGGGCGGGAGGCAGAGGTGCACAGGGCCACGTGGCAGAGCAGGAGGGACACGGTGGCCACGTGCAGACGGGCCTGCAGGAGGACACGGGACCCTGCCAGGCAGGTGGGGGGACACGGGGCCCACCTGGAAGGCGGCTGGGGGAGAGGACGTCCAAGCGCAGTTTCAAAGGACCCAGGCTCCCAGGCGGCTGGGCGCAGGGTGGCAGGGGGGGGGGGTCACCTTTGCAGAGGGAACAGCTTGGCACAGGGTGGGTTCCCAACAGAAGAGGAGGAGGGGGGTCACGCAGCTGGAGAGGCGGGCAGGTTTGGGGCACAGGAAGCTTCTGTGCGTATGTGCGCCACATGTGCGGGCATGTATTTATGCACGTGCATGACTGTGCGTGTGCTTGTGTGTTTACCTGCATGTGTGCACGCGTGGAGTGGGGCTGGGGAAGCCCTCTGGGAATTACGATGATTGAGCAGTGCCTCAGGACTTGCTGTGTGGCTTTGGGCAGTTGCTTACCCTCTCTGGGCCTCTTTTCCACTGGCTGGAAAATGAAAGCTTTCCCAGAACACGGCTTCATGAGGTTCCTGTCACCTGAGAGCTGGCCAACAGCCACCCATCTCCTGAGCTCCTCCTCCCATCCCCTCCTCCCATCCCGTCTAGGGTTCCAAGAGAAAGGGGCTGAAAAGCAGCTGCAGGGCCCTCCCGTGGTCACAGGCCCCTGGAAAGCTGTCTTGTAAGAGGAGGGGCTGGGGCTGCTCTCCACCCTGTCGCCCGCACCAGGAGGGGTCGGAGTTGGGGCTCCTTGTGCCCCACCCTCCCAGGGCCCCCTCCATGTGTTAACTCTTCCCAGCTTAGAAGACAGCCCTGGGTGGGACATGGCCTCCTGCACAGGATGAGGGCTGCCAGCCTCCTCCTCTGGCCTCCCCTCCCTGGGTTCCCAAGACCCAACTTCTCTGCGCTTCCCTCCCCCTGGATGTTTGCAGAGCCCAGGGAGCCGCTTCCCCTCCCCTCCCCCTCCCTCCCCTCCCCTCCCCCTCCCTC